TGTGACACTGAACTGGCATTAGCAATCACATCGCTCTCCCTGGCACGTGGGATATGCCAATGCCAGAAGCTTACCCAGGCTGAAAGGGAAATGGGAGTAATCTGCAGTGCATAGCTAAATACATAGAAAGTTGGTCCAGCTAGAAAACCCCTGGGACACAAATATCTGGGAGCTGGGAGAGCGTCAGCTGGAAATACTGTCTATATGCCCATCCTGCTCTTATCTTCTCCTACTCCAAGGTGCTCTTGGCAGTTGACAGAAGAAGAGGCTGTGCTGGATGTCCATCAGGTCCAATCAGATATAGCAGTTCTTCCTTTAGTGCGCCATCCTTAGAGCATCACTGGCCAAGAGGTTTTTTCCACGGGCTATTGTAACTAAGGGTTATGTGGGAATGGTCTGTTATAAGACCTTTACAGTTTGACTGAAATGGCATGGTTTGAAACGAAAACTAAATCATGATGGAGAGCATTGCGCTTGGAATGAGGGCAAACATTTGTATGTTGTGTTCACAGAGATACCATCCCTCTCTTTTTGCTGCTGAGTGTCAGCAAGAGGAGGAGAGCTGGAACTGCAGTTCTACAAGATTTGTTTTATTCTTTGATTTCCTGTACATGGAAATGAGATGAAACTCATTATCTCTGCAATTGCTTTGGCTACAGACTCAGGGAAGAGCAATTTCTGGTGCAGAAATGCAGTCAATTGGATGTGCCATGGATGCCCTTAGCCTTCATGCCAGAGCAGGGCTCTTTAACTCAGGCAAATGGACCCAACACCAAGGGAAGGAAAACCCCAGCAGCGGTGGTTTGCTGCAAACTCACCCCATGGTGTCTGTGGGACTCCCTGGGTGGGCAGGGAAGAAGGCAGGAGGTGTGCCAAGCCTGGTGGTTTAGGCCAACACATAGCCTGGCTTGGCAGCGGGACCTTTAGCCCCATGCACCCAAATCTGTTGGAGAAATGCTTCAGAAATTGCTCTTTCCCACCTGCAGTGTGACCGAGGGACAAGGCAGGAAAAAAATATTCCAGCTTCTTCAAGGGCTGTGGTGTTGCACACTTATGGGATCTTGAGTGTTTGGCTTAAATACTCAGCTCCTAAAGATGTTAGATTATGGCAGAAACACCTCTTTCATCCCCAAATCAAAACACATTCTAGACTTCTGTGAGGATTTGAGAGGCAGCTCGGAAGTACCATCTAGATTGACCCCAAAATCGCACGAGGTGAAGAAACTATGTAATTTTTTAGGCGCTGCTTTAATCTTCTGTTTTAATCTTCTGTTTTTTCCCTCTGTCTTGTGGATTTGAGATTCCTGATTTCTGGCACTGTAATCACTCAGCAGTGAGGGTTTCAGGATGCTATACAGTGTCCACTTTGTTTTCTGGTTACACAAGCACTTGTGCTGAGGGAGCCCCTTAGCAACAGGAAAGTGAAATTTTAAATGCAAATTTCAGCACGTGCTTGCACTGTCGGGACTTTGGGTTTCAGCATACTTCATCCCACTGTGTCCAGCTAGGGAAACGAAGGGGTAGATGTCTCACTGCGCTCAGTACTGCAGCCCACATCGCTCCGTGAGCCTTAGCAAGCTGTCCTGGCTCTGCCCAGTGCTCCTGCTCTGCCTGAGTTGCACCGTGTATTTTAATGGAAGAAAATTAACCTCGCATAGCAACATGTAAAAAGAGGGCTGCAGGCAACAGGCTTGCAAAGCTTGCTGAACTGGACACTGAGCGCAGCAGGAGCATAGGACTAGTTGAGGCCATTCAGAACATGGGCTGCAATCCACAGCCTGCACGGGCAGCCTCATGCTAGCTCAATGCTGCCCACGTCATCACAGCCCATGCTATCCAGCAAATCTCTGCCCTGGGAGAGGAGAGAGAAGCAGAGGCCATGGCAGAGGATCCAGCGAGAGCAAGGTGTCATCAGTGCACATCCCAGATTACTGCAGAAAGCAGCCTTTACTCCAACACAGGATAGATTGTGCAGTTGCCTGATCATCCTCCTTCTCCACTGGTCAAAGCCTGCCCAGATGTGATCTCAGACACCATTAGGAGGAAGTCCTTCTCTCCAGGATTGCAGCCTCGTCCCAGGAACAAATTTACCTCGGCAATTCTCTCTGATTGGAGATGATTCATCCAGAGAGTGGTCTTGCTGTTTGTTCCTCCCACCCTTTTTCCCCAACAGCCTTGTACAGCAGAAACAGCAGCAGTGCACATGTCTACCCAACACAGAACACTTGCTCGCACCCTAGAATGATCCCCTGGAAAACTGCATAATAGCAGCTCCTGCTGGAAGTGGCACTTGAAGCCCTGAGGCCGCATTATTCAAGGAAGTCCTGTTGGTCTTGGGTCTAAGCATCAGGAACAGCTTTTTTAATTGGCACCCAGGTTTTTGTGAGAGAGAATTATTTTGTGGGGCTTTGAGGAATGCCACACACAGCAAGCCAGAGCACACCTGTAGGAAGTTTGTGTCTTGATACCTCTGCTGCCCTCAGAATTGATGAAGGCAGCTTTTTTAATTAACTGTTCTGAGAAAACCTTTTTTTTCACACATGGAGGGAAGGTATAGTGTACATTTTAATGGCAGTTGTCAGGAAAATTATTGATTTTGTTAGTAATGTTTTTGAAATTGTGCCAGTCTGTTAATTCTGTCAGGTTCTCTTTGATAGCTTGGCTGAGAACATTTTTGCATCCTTCATTAGTTTTTTAATACATGATAATTTCCCCTAACTCATCAATGCAAAGCAAGATCAGCTGCACACTTGGTAAACATTTTTCCTATGCACAAATCTATTGCAGCAATAATTATCAACAGAACAAATTATTACAGATATTCATTATAAAATACAATTACCCTGAGCCATGCTGCATTGTTACACTTTTCGCAGCCGTCACTTGCTCTTGAGTAAATGGTTTCATTATAGGTATGAAGGGCAAACTTAATACACTTCTGACTCATAGCAAACAGCACAAGAAATCACCCTGGCCGTTCCTGAGTGCTTGGCGGTGTTTGCTCTGAATAAGAATAAAATGTCGACCCTGCTGCCAAATACTTGTCAGCTTAACAGAGGGGCTCTGGGTGGCAGTACAGATGTGCAAGGAGGGGAGAAAGCCAGAAATTACAGCAGTGTGGCCTGAATTTCACTCCCCTAGAGCGTGGCTTTCTTCCATGTTTATGGGTTTTCAGTGCTGGGACCTGCCAGGAACAGCAGATCCTCCTTGATCATATATTAAAGCAGCCTCAAGGCTGCTCCGACTTGTGCTGGCTGCCCATAGAGGAGCTGGGGATGGGACAAGAGGAATTTCTTCGAAGGACAGGATGGGAGAATGGTGACTGGGAAGCTTGTTTAAGCAAGAGCATTCACAGGAGGACAGTGCTGACAATCGTGGGGAAAAAACACACCCAGCCAGGAGGTGGGCAGTAAGCATAAGGCTGCAGACAGGCATTGCATTGCCTTTTTGTTTCATGGTATTGTTGTCTTCTTATTTCTTGTCTGGGACAAGGTCAGAGCCAGGAGGAGGTCCCATCCCGGCAGCAATGCTGTGCAAGCATGACAGTGAGCAGGGCGCTCCGGGCAGGAGCAGGGGCTGCTAGATTTCTGCCACACTGTCTTGTCTTTGCAAGGGCTTTGTGCTGTAGGAGAGACCACAGTGGTCCCCCCCACATACACTAGCCTCTTGTACCCTAGGGGTCTGGCCACCTTCTGGCTAGCAGCTTTCGGCTGGGTGTTTACCCTGAAAGACAGTAGATTTAGATTAGATATAAGGAAGAAATTCTTCACTCTGAGGGTAGTGAGGCACTGGAACAGGTTGCCCAGAGAAGTTGTGGATGCCCCATCCCTGGAAGTGTTCCAGGCCAGGTTGGATGAGGCTTTGAGCAACCTGGTGTAGTGGAGGGTGTCCCTGCTCATGGCAGGGGGTTTGGAACTAGATGATCTTTAAGGTTCCTTCCAACCCTAACCATTCTATGATTCTATGATTCTGGGCTACTTATCTGAATCCCTGAAAAGAGCTGGAAAATTTCCTCTGGGCTAATTCTTTCTCCTGGTAAAGCAATTAGTTCACTCAATTTTTTACTCTATTGGGTGCCCCAAGGAGAAAATCTCTCTGCTGGTGGCCACAGCCTCCTGTGAGGCTTTCGCCCTTTGCGGTGCATGCTTTGTGGCTGTGCTTTGAGCAGAGGCTCTGCCTTCGGACCTGCCCTGCTGGTGCCACAGGGGCAAATCCAGCAGCCCTGGGCCATGCGAGAAGAGAGACTTGCCGCATGACTCCCAAACAGGAGAGAAGCAAACCTTCAGGGCTCGGGGAAGGATGTGCTGTTTGCAAAGAAAAATTAAAAAGTCAAATCTCACCATCAGTGAAGCTTTCCTTCGCCCTGTCCTAATCAGAAAGACCATCTCTCCCTCATGCTTCCCCTCCATAGAAGAAGTCCTACCTCCAGCTTCTCTTTTGAACTTGTGAATTGGAGCCTCCAAAGCCTGAACTGAGCAGCTGGTTGTGATGTTGTGCATGGCAAGACAGAGCCTTTTTCATGCACAGGGGCTGGTGTTAGCAGCGCATCGTGCTTTCAGGGGCTCTGTCTGTGCTGTTTCCCAGCACCTACGCCCCTGGGAGCCCTCGCGGTGTGTGCAAGCTGTCAAGGGGCTGTTCTGCACCCTGGGTTCTTTGGAAAGGGATATGTCTTGCTACCCCTGGGCCAAGGCATCCCTGGGGAAGGCTGGTCCAGGCTGTGTCATGTCTAGCGACGTGCCGGGGAGGATGACACCCTGCAAGCTGCTGGTGCTCTGAGCCTGTGGTCTGTGCTCATCCCAAGGCGAGCTCGGCCCATCAGCTCCTGCCCTTTGCTTTCAGCTGTGCTGCCCCTCCAGCCTGTGCTACCAAACCCACTGTTTTCTGTCTGCAGCCCCCTTCTCCTGCCATTTTCACCCTCCTTCTCCTCTCCCTGTCTCCTCTCCTTCCTTTTCCTCCCTTACTCTTCAATCTGTATTTCTTCTTCTCTGTTCCAGCAAAACGATATCAATCAAGGTCATAGATGATGAGGAGTATGAGAAAAACAAGACCTTCTACCTAGAGATCGGGGAGCCCCGGCTGGTGGAGATGAGTGAGAAGAAAGGTGGGGGACGTGCTCCGGGGCTGAGCCCAGCCTGTGTGTCCCTGTCTGGCTCACTCATGCCTGGCACCTGCAACACTGAGCTCACATCCCCAAAGCCTATGGAAAAGGGCAGGAGTGAGGACACTTCCTATCCCTCCTGAACTCAGCCGTTCCCCAGCCCATCAAGGTCCCACCCCAGCTGGGCGATGGGGATGCTTCTGCCCTTCCCCATACGCCCCGGGAGGGATGTGCAGCCGCTTCCCCCCACCCAACCATCTCCGGCACCACGGCACCCAGGCAGACGTGAACTGCATGCATGTGTGATGCCAATCATGTGTTTGCCTTTGTCTTGTGTTCCCACAGGAAATTCATTACCCTTAGAGTACTTGACCGTGAGGAGTATGAGAAAGAGTGCAGTTTCTTCCTTGTGCTTGGGGACCCGGTTTGGCTACGACGAGGAGTGAAAGGTGTGAGAGTAAAACCAGACCAGCTCTCGAGACGCTGCCGTCCGCTTTCTCTGTGTCTCCCTACTCTCACACTCCTTTCTCCTCGCACTTTGGCTCCCAGCCGTTTTGCCCTCCCTCCTTCGAAGCTTGGCCACTGTGCCTTTTTGCTCTGTTTTCTTTCCTCTTTCATTTCTGGGAGAGCCCCGGAGCACCCAGGCAGGGGACGATGAGCATCGCCAGCCCCCAGAGGCATTTTGAGAGTGCTGCCCTGCCGTGTCGCAGCTACACCTTCCTTTAATCGAGCAGAAAATTCAGTCTTGAGAAGTAAAAAGGTGATGCTGCATCATTTTTATCAAAAGATAAAATAGCCTTCACTTGAAATAAAATGCATGGCCAGAGCAGTAATTTTAGCCTTTTTATAGTGGCACTAGGATCTGAAAATAGCTGAGAATCATGGCACAAGCAGGTAATACCATAAGATGCATTCAGTCTGGGAGAAATCAGGTTATACTCAAATAAAGTTTCATGACTCTGCACTGGATAATAGCTTCTCATAGGAATAATAAAAACAATTTCCTTTTTCATCACATTTCTAAACCAACTGCAAACCTTCCCAAAAACACAGAGTTCACTTATTTTTCTGTACATTTTTTTCTGCTTGGAAATTAAGCGAAAATTAATGGCAACAGCAAATTCTGCACACTGTAAATGGCTGAGCAAGAAGCACTTTTAGAGACTTAAGATAATTAGTTGCCCTTATTAAAGCCTTTGTAAAAAATTGGCAGCAGCATTTGGTCTCTCTGCCTTGGAGCTGCCTTCTGATTTCTGGGACACGAGCTCTCCCTTCAGCAGGCATGAGGTTGTAATATATTATTTGTTCAGGACAGAGAGGGCCCCCAGCGGTCCCCATGCTGAGTGGGGACATGCTGCTGTATTTTAGGCTAAAAACACATCCGGCAGCAATGCCACATTCCCATTCAGCGCAGGTGCCCTCTACGTCAGCTGCATCATTCCCCCCATCAGATTTCCTGCAGATTTATGTGACTAGCTACCAGAAGCAGGGCATGGCCCAGGCTCTGCAGGTGGGATTTGTTAAATTAAATTTAACATTAAACAGTGCCAGTGGCATATATGGAGCATAGCCAGTGTTGCCAGGATAAAGTGACACATGGACAACTCAACTTGGCGGCTTCAGCGTCACTCTGCTTCAGAGAGATCAGCGTGGGCTCAGCCTTGTGAGTCTGGCAAGAGCAAACACACTTTCCAGCCTCTAGGTTTGGGAATGGTGCTACCAATTCACAAGATCCCACCTGAAATTTTGAATTAAAAATAAAAGGAAAAGGAAAGAAATTTCCTCATCTTCCTGGTCATAAAGATAATTGAGGAAACCTGAGGGAAGCTCAGCTTTGCAAACTCACTAGCTGGAAGAAAAGTCAAGATTTTAAAGGATACTATTTGCTGCTTTGGCCATGCAATGATTTTTTTTTTTTAGCTCCGTTTTTGTGCTTGATTTTGTACAAGAGGCAGCAAGGCAGGGCGAGCTGTGTGCTGAGCGAGCTGTGTGCTGAGCGCCCTGGAGATGAGAGCATCTCTGAAATGTCACCCTAGAGCCATGTGGCCTTGGTGGGTTCCACGCCTCGGGCAAAAGAACCCCCGAGGCTTTTTCTTTTGTTTTGGAGATCTACAATGTTGAGCAACAAGATTCTTGAGCCAAACCTCACCACAGACTTTTCTTCTCTGGTTGTATATGCCAGAAGCACAGCTGCCTGCTGGAGCTGTTGCTCCCCATTAGGCAGCTGTAGGAGGTCAAAGCCAGTAGCTACTGCACATGGGACATCTTGTGTCCTCCCCCTGGGCAGAACTGCCTCTGAGACCAATGGAAGATCTTGCACATACAATTCAAAGGGGAAAAATGAATTTTTGGAGTGTGCCTTTTAATCCCATACCACCCCATGTTTGCAATAGTTTTTGTTTTAAATCCACAATCCCATGAAATGTTTCTGTTCCTTTATTTTTAGTGCCTTTCTCTCAACACTAATGGTATCCTGCAGCTTTACAGATCTGAAATCTCTGCCCTGGGATCTGGAGTCTTTCTGTGGATATCCCTTTTGATTTTGTTATTCATTTACTTTTCTTCTTCTCTGTTTGTCTCTGTCTGTCTCCTTCACAGCCCTGTTGTTGAATGAGCTTGGTAAGCACGCATTTGTTTTTCTTTTCCATTTTTCCAGTTTGTCTGCATATTTTCAGAAGACAATTGATTTTGTTTGACATTTTTCTTTGCTCATAACATTCTCTTTTAGGGTGGTCAACACTAGTTAAGTAAGCTCAGGTATCTAATATCACATTTTTCCTTGGAGTAGAGCCCCAAAGTCACTAACATTAACGAGCGGTAACCCACTGTGGTGAGCAGCGTTTTTTGGGAGTGGTGTTGTTACAGCCATAGTAAACCTGCCGACATCACAAGTTACAAACCTGTGCTGTGTAAATTAACCCATTGCCTCTTACACTGGCATGGCAGAAACAGGATTGCCTGGTGACTTAGGGATGCTTGTGGCTGGGCAGGAAAGTTGGCCAATCCTTTTTCAAGAGACAGTGCAAACTTTGCCTCCAGTCTTGGGGACATTTAGAGCCCACCCAACCTCTGAATTTCCTTGCTGGCCAACTCCAGGATAGGGAAACTGGGGAGGGAAGCAAAGCCACCCTCGTTCCCCAAAGCACCCCCAACCCCAGGGCAGGCTCACATTGGTTTTACCTACTCTGCAGCATATATTAGATACTGGGAGTGGCAGCTTGCAGATGTGGGTTGAGATGCCTGCGTTCAGGTCTCCCCACACTGTCCCTGGGGTGCGTGTTGGGGAGCAGCCCCCCATGTCCACAGTCCCTGGCCGTGGGGCAGAGAAGGACCACCCAGTCCCTGCGGGCTGCAGGGTGTCCATGTTGCTGTGCCAATGCTAACCCTCTTTCTCTCTTTCTCTCTCTCTCTCTCTCTCATTTTTGGTTTCATCTAGGTGGCTTCACCATCACAGGTATGGATTTCTGCTCTCCCCCCACCCCTCCCTTCCCTCCTCTTAATGGCCACATGCTCACCCCGCTCTTTCTTCTTGGTTTCCTCTTTGCTTTTGTTCTGTCCTGGAGGGAAACTCTGGAAGGGTAAGAAGGCACCGTGCCGCTGCCCCGGCCGGTCATGCTAACACCGTGTCCTCTCACAGAGTGCTCTGCCTGCCATGCACGCCTAACCCCCACCCCAGGGAGGGTGACCATCGCCCCTGAAGTGACAGGCAGCCCCCCTCCATCTTTTAAAGCAAGGAGGGCTTCTCCACTTGATCTAGCCTTCCCTTCCCTGCTGCCCACACAGGAGGTGTGTGCGTGGCACGGGGAGCCTGTCCTCACTCTCCAGGCAGCAGCCAGGGTGCCTGAGCACTGCGGGAAGTGCGGGGCTCCATGGCTGCTTCATGTACGCAGCCCCTGCCCTTCCAGCCAGCGAGACCCAGCAGCAGGGTTTGCTCTTCTGTCACTAGCCAGCCGAGCATCCGCCACTAGCCAGCCAAGCATCTGTCACTAGCCAGCCGAACATCTGTCACTAGCCAGTCGAACACTGCAGGGGCAGAAGGTCCCGGCTCCTGCACGTTGCAGAGCGGCCCCTCAGGAGCCCTAGAAACAATAATTCAGGCTAACGAGGCTCTGGCCACAAGGTCAGTCTCTTTGACCGGTGGGAGCAGGGCTTTCCCGCAGCGTGGTGCCACTCATGCAGACAAGGAGCAGCTGGCAAGGGAGCGACACTAACCCCGTGTGAAGTAGGAGTAGAGTTTACTAATGGCATGGCAGCAGTTTGCACAGGGTGTATGGTCCCTTCTGTTGATCTCCTGCTAATCGCTTTGATAGGCAAACCTGTCTTCAGGAAGGTCCAGGCTAGAGATCATCCTCTTCCTTGCACCGTGGTCTCCATCCAAGGTATCTGCAGCGTGACACCAAAGGGCTGCGGCAGTCTAACATGGACTGACCAAAGTGTTTGCCTGCTGACAGTTTAACTCCTGTCTCCAGTGATTCCAGCCCTTTTTAGCCCTGATGTCCTTCTCCTCATCCCTGCAACGGACTGGCAGGGAGCTCAGCGGAGGTCTGTGCAGGGGCAGTGACAAAAGTCATGCTGCCTGGGGTCTTCGTGCCCCAAAGGTTGCATGGATGCCATTGGAGGTGCAGACCTGCTCCATTGCTCTTGTAGGCCCTCCACTGCCTCCTCGCTCAGGATTTGGGGTCTGGCCATGCCTTGTTGATGACTCCTGGCACCTGTATGGCCCAGTGCTATTTCCTCCTGCCCCACCGTCGCAGCAGGAGTTTCATGCTTTCTGGTTGACAGCCCCCTGCCCAAGGTAAAGCCCTGCTCAGAAGGAGGCAGAGCCAAGTTTTCAGACCCAGCTCAGCTCTGGGGCTGCTGGCAGCTCTCCCTGGTTGTAACAGGCTGATGGAAATGTCTTGACCATGACCTGGTGCAGACCTGGAGAGCTGGGAAATGAGCCTTAGTGATGATCTGTCTCCCTGTGGGAGAGGCAGGAGGTACCAAGCAGTAAGCTATTCCCCAGCCCTGAGAGTGAACTGGGCTCCTTTTGAACTTGGACGAGTTGCAGACCTCTTGCTAGCATTTCCCAGCAAAACTACTCTGCCTATTGCTCCATGACCTCCTTCTCAGCTGCTCTGTCACTCATGCTCCCACCTGGAGGTTTCCTGACCTCCCTCTCTGATGGAAAGCCAGCTCCAGAGAGTGACCAGCCGAGCCTGGCTCACCGATGGGCTCTTTGCTTTGCAGAGGAGAATGAAGAAAAGCAGCCACTGACCAGCAATTCGAATCGCGGAGATGGGGCGCCCAGTCCTGGGGGAGCACACCAAGCTCGAAATTATCATTGAGGAATCCTATGAGTTCAAGGTACTGCCCACGTCCCCTGCCCCTGTTCTTCTTCCACTCCAGCTGGGGACTCTCCTGTTGGGTTTTCACAGCATTGGCAAGCACATGCTAATGGGATCACAGCAAAGCAAGGCAGCTCCTGCCATCACAAGCTCTCAGAGCAGGACGAAGGGAAGGTGGCTAAGCGAAGGCATGATGAAAGAGCAAGGGTCACTCCAGTGAGAGGCGGTGGATTAAAATACACTCTGCATCTTCACTCTGTCTATTAGCCCACAGCCATGGTCCTTGGGACATGATCCCAGACTTTCTGTCCCACTCACAGACTGACTGTGGTTATTATTACACAAACACATCAATATGGCAAGCCTAAGAGCTGACTGGGCTCCAGAATGCTGCAGGTTGCTTTAAAATATAACCTCGTTCTCACAGTGATGTGCTACATCCAGGTCCTACTTACTGGCGGTGTCGAGTGAGCCCCACGCCTGAGACCCTCAGCATAAAGGGCTGATACCCTAAATGCAAGTAATGGCTGCAAAGCTAAGCTGCTGTGAATGCATGCACCAGACCAAGAGCTGAAAACTGGCAATTTCATTATCTTCTCCATTTTTGTGTAGTGTAAAAAAATAGCAGACCGCCCTGACTATGTCGCAGCCGTGGCTCCCTCCCTCCCTGCTGTGGTTTCACTGTCACTGTGCATCTGAGACATCACAGTGTGCGGGCAGCTCTCAGGCTCCCTGCCCAGGGCCATCTCCTACCTTCCTTACCAGCGTTGAGCTCCAGCTCCTGAGCAGCACAGAGGCAGAGCCCATCTCCACAAATGGGCCTTGATCAAGTCCCAGTTAGTGCTTTGAAGCAGCCCAGTAAAAACTCTTCCCAAGATGTTGGGGACAGCAGGAGCTGTGGCACCTCAGCACTATTTGCTGTTAAACCTCCACTGAGATGGTTCCAACTCCCATCATGAGCAGATTTCATAAGGTCTTTTCGAGCGACAGCGAGAGGAATTGCAAGTACTTACATTTGCTTTCACTGCTGGGGCTCTTGACCTGAGCTTAAAATCTACTAAGCTTTTTCCATAAGTGCATGGCTGTAAGCACTAGTGCCGGTGGGTTTTAGCCCAGCCTCTCCAGCCCGATAACTCCTAATTCTCTCCTCTGCATCTCCATCCGCAGAATACAGTGGACAAGCTCATTAAGAAGACGAACCTGGCCCTGGTGGTTGGCACAAACAGCTGGAGGGAGCAGTTTATTGAGGCTATTACTGTCAGCGCGGGTGAGTTTGGACCACAGCTCCAGGTGAATTACAGTCAATCTCACTCGTGTCTCGGCTTGGCTGTATCAGTAATGGAGACGGTGGTGGAGCAGCAGAAGGTAAAACAGGTGTCGGGGTTATTTACAGCATCTGCATAAATAAGACAGCTGATTAAACCCTTTCGTGAGATCACCTTGTCTGATGTGTAGGAAACCTCCTGCATTAAGTGTGTCTGTAGCACCCAGCAGAGAAACACCCTGACTGTTACCAGCTGTCAGAGGGGAAAAGTCATTTCAGTGAGATCTGGGAGGCGAACGCAGTGTTTAAATTCAGAGCAGCGTAAATGATGTCAGTGGGAAGCAGCAGTGCTCCCCATCCCTAGTGCTCCCCATACTCCTGTGGTGAGGACAACGCAGTAGCAAAGGTGCCAAGCCCAGAAGGCAGCAACTGAGTTCCCCTCTCTGTGGGCCAAAATTTGCCCTTGACACCCTGCTTTCAGGAACTCCTGCTGCTCCAGCCAGCTGTGGCTGCAGGTTATGGCTCAGCAGCCCAAGTGCTGCAGCAGCACATGATATCTGTGGTCATAGCAGATCATATCTGACCATATCTTCCCTCTCTCAGAGAATTGCCTTTCCCTCAGAAATGCACTGTTGTTCTGTTCTCACAGGCACCAGTGCCATGTTTACCAGTATGCCCAGTATAGGATATATTAGCATTCCTACATCTGTGGAAGATGAAAGAAAGGTGGTCTCCTCCAGTTGTGGTTTTAACAGCTGGAGGAGACACTGTAACTTACTGGCTGGATGTTACAACCTTACAGCATTGGTTGTGGATGCATTAGGGCAAAGTCAACCAGCTTAAAGTAAATCACTGGGGAAGGCAGTTTCAGCTCATCTGGCTAATTGTGCGTTGAAATGCATGGGGGAGCACTCACACTTCCTACCTCGAGCTCTGCTGTACAGGATAACCTCTGCCCAGCACAAAGTAATTAAAAGCGATGGCCGTACCATTTACCATCCACCTTTGAAAATGAAGACAAGACATTGCGCAGCAGCTATCTCCTCAAATTGTGATCCCTCCTCTTGTAGCATGGTTATTCTTGGAGCCTCCAGCCAAGAGCCTCCCATTATTTCAGATGCATCATGAACATATCATGCAAGACAATCCTTGCTGCAGGCTTTGTGGCTAATACGGCTAAACTAATTATGCCAGAATCAATTATTTAACTACATCCTGTATTAAAGCAAAGATAATCACTGGTAGTTGCGTCTCATCTCTGTGCCACATGTGAAGACTGCAGCTATGTGAAAACCCTGTTACCACCATGTCTTGAATCAACAGCCATCGTCAGTGCTAACAGGATGATTAGCAAACATTTTATTAAATGTGGCATATTTCGGTGGACATGAGCTGTCCCTTGCAGTTGAGGAACAGTAGTTGGTCTCTGAGCTCTGGATCTGCTTTTTTTGCCAGGATTTAGCTCCTCAAGCTTTGTGCCCAGCAAGTTAAAATGCCTCAAACATTAGAGTCTGGGTTTGGGTTTTTCCCTGCAGCCCTCCCTTGAGAAGAGGTGAAAGTCACACATTCCCGCTTCAAAATGTAATGTCCCAGCTGGGAAAAGAAGCATTAAAACTCCATTTCCCACCCAGTGAGCAATGGTGGCAATGTTGACAGGGCAGCTGAGCAATGGAGCAGCAGGAGGTCAGGTCTGTGGAAGGACAGTGCAGGTGCAGGTGAGACTGTGCCACACCATGCCATGCCATCCCGTGCTGTGCCATCCTGTGCTGTCCAGGTGGCTGAGCTGGAGCCTCTTACCCATAGCTGCCTTCAGACTGCACCCAACAGCCCATAAAGTTTCTTCCACAGCAAAAACATCCCAGAGTTTGTGAGCCCGTTCCTGAATGCACCCTTGGGTCACCATCCGACCTCACTCTGCATTTCAAGTCACCTTCACAGGATCTGGCCAGCTCTTCGAAAGAGAAACGTTATTGCTCTTTAACAAAATGATAGACAGATTTGGATGAATGTTATGACAGTGGCACTCGTTCATTTTTCAGTCCGTTTTATCATCTCCATAAAGATTTAGATCCACGACAGTCCTGCTGCCATGCATCTTGGGAGAGAATTAAAATACCTGCTGCAAAATTACAGTGTGAGCACAGCACAGTGTATCCTGCCAGTACCAGTCTTTGTGCAGCGAGCAAAAAGAACAGGCCAGCATAGGCTTCCCAGGCTGAAAAACTGTTCCTTATCTCCAAGACAATGCACAGGAATAGAGTATTTATATCTGCCAAAATAATAACACCGTGCCACTGATTAGCTACTGTTTCTGTTGTAGTGAGTTTGAAGCTTTAAAGCCAAGCAAAACATAATTTTCCATCAAGTTATTGTAGAGACATCAAGTCTCCCACTGCCTCTATCTTGTGTTGGTCTTGAGCTGCAAAGGTGCTTTGAAGGCAAACAATGTGTGCAAAGTTGCACCCCGACAAGGTGCTGAATAGGGCTTTTCCCTGGTTGGTCATGGCTTTATTTAGCCAAATATTGAAAATCTTGAAAGATTATGTCCATCATCCAGGGTATGTGTCCCAGGGCTGCACCACCACCCTGGAGGAAATGTTTCTCCTGATATTACCATCCAAGCTGCAGTTCGTGGCCATTGCCCCTTATTGTATCCCTTGTCAGTACAGAGGGAAGTTTCGCTCCATCCTTTCTGTACATGCCCTCCAAGTCACTATAGGCTGTTGCTTGGTCCCCTCCAACCTCCTCTCCTCCTGATTCACCAAGCCAGCTCCTTCCACCTCTTCCCACAGGCAGCATCCTCCAGGCTCCAATCATCTTGGTGGCCCCACTGAATCTCCTCAAGCTTTACCCCAGCCATCACGTGGGATTCGTGTCCCCTCCTGCCTTGCTCTCACAGACTCCATCACTATCCTCTCCCCTGCAGCTGCATCTCTCCTGAGAGCCCCAGGGATGCCAGCAGAGTGCAAGGTTTACATGTACTGGAGCTGAGTCAAACCAAGAGCAGGTTGACTACTCTTACAGGTTACCACCTCTTGAGAGTGGTCACAATGTGAGTGATCCCTGGGCCTTTTCCTTTTCTTGCTCCCGTGTGCTGTGTGCAATTTCTGCAGGACCACAAAGGGAAATAACCAAGAGGTGAAACTTCAGTGCACAGGGTTTGGCCTCCACTTTCCCAGGAAGGATGCCTTGTCTTGATCCCCCAGTTGACTTTTCATCGCCACCTTTGCCAGGAGGCAGAAAGCAATTATCGCTATGAGCAGAGACAGAGCAAGCAGCTCACCAGCAGCTTCCTCCAGTAACTCTGTTGTCATGGCACAGAGCCACTGTTTGAACATGGGGTTAATTCATACCCACGGATTGGTACACAGCGTACAGCAAGACCATGTTATTCTCCCTGCGGGAGGCTTTATAAATTTTGTTATTCAGTCAAACATTTGCATTGTGGAGGAAGATATGGAAGGAGGAATATTCACACTGGCCAGCAGTGGGGCAGATAAAACCAGCACAACCTCATCCAAAAGCTTATGCCAGCCCGACCAGTGCTGCAGCCGCCAGGAGAGGCAGCTTTTCCCAGGCATAGAGCCATCATCTCCTTGAACCCAGTGGCTGGCAAGGAGAGACCTTGTCCCCTCACCCACTGTGGTGGAGCAGAGCAGAAGCTCAGGTTTCACTGGGTGATTTTGGCTGCTCTGGGACTTGGTCCCTTTTTTCCACCATCCTGAAGCGTCCTCCCAGGAAGGCAAGCCAGGCTCACTCATGCCATCTGACAGGGATGGGCTGCACATTGCATCCTCCCCTTGGTAAGGAGCTTCTGCCAACAGCCGTGCAGGGAGATCTGATGATCCACATCCTTGGGGGGAAAAAAAATGCATCAAAGACAATGACATATCACCAACTCGAGTGCACAGGATGTCTTTAACACACTCGCAATGGCCTTGGAATCCCCAATGTCCGTAACTTAGAAACCCATCCTTGTTCCTTGGTGGTGCAAGAAAGACTCCCACTGATTTAATTGGGAAAGCGTCACCTCCCCTTCATGCCCAGGGATGGTTCGAGCACACACTGGAGGAGTTTTTGACTGTGCCACAACTCTGATGTTGTGCACTGTGCCAGGCTGGGGGAGCTCCACATTTGCCACGCAGCCCACCCAGAGGACAGGCTGGCCGGTGGGCTTGTGAGGCACCTGATCAGAGCTGCTGGAGTCAGGCAGGAAGTCACCATCCCTGAGGGGCTCACTGGTGGGATCAGCCCCACACGATGGGGGCTCTCTGGAGGCTGGATGCCAAGTGGCTTTGGAAAGACAGGTGAGGTTCCAATGCCTGCAGCAGGAAAGGTAGAAACAGAGACAGCTGCCAGGATCCCCATGGCCCTACCAGGACCTAGAAGATGAAGATGTGCTGAGGCAGTGCTGGGGGAAGGGGCTGAGGAGCGAGAGGAGGGGGCCAGGACAGTTTGACATCTGCTGAGCTCTTTCCCAGTGACCCACAGGATTGCTGCTGGGCACAAGTGAGCCTGCATGTCCAGGGGTCATGGCTGTGGATGCATAACTCCCCAAGAGCCTTTGGGGCCATGCAGCATCTGGCAGTCAGGGTCTGAGAGCCCCTGGGACATCAGGCAGGATGGGCACAAGGACTCCCATCCCATCTGTGCTGAAGACCCAGGTCTTGCAGGTGCTACAGGGGCCACAGCCATGAGCAGCAGTGCACTGTGCAGGGCTGAGCACTCAGCACAGCACCAGGATAGCCAGGGTCTGACCCACACAATGTGCCTGGTGAGCAGAGATAGGGCCAGGGCTGCTGGCAGGGTTCGCGCTGGGTAAATGACCCCTGCAAGGCATTAACAACAGATTGGTGAGAAGTGAAGCACTGACCTGGATCAGGGACAGAAAATAAAAAGAAGAAAAGTGCTTTTTTTCTGTGACAAATGATGCTCCATAGCGGGCTCATAGCCTGGGGTGCTTGCCAGCTACCTGGAAGGGGTGTAAATGGGAAAGCATTTTCATGTGCAGGACATGCCCACTGACCTTGGTGAGACCAGACCGAAAAGAATGGGCAGCCAGAGCTCGTAGGAAGGCACGTGAAAAAGCAGGGAAATGCAACAAGGAAGGACAGTCAGCAGTGATGGACCAGGGAGGTTTTAGGGCAGGTATTCTTCATGGCTGGATCCCGGTTTGCAGAAAAGGCGAAGCTCCAGAGCCAGCAGCTCAGCAGTCACCAAAACCAAATGTCTTTCCAGAGAGCTAGAAACAATCACAGGTACTTGTGAAAAGCGTCTCAAAAAGAGATTCCTTAGGAGAGTCTCTGTGAGGCAAGTGTTGCTCTTGGTGGACTCACCTGCCCCAATCAGCTCCAGCCAGCATGAGGCCAGTTGTTTCCCATGTCTTCCAGGGGCTGAGTCCCGAAAACCATCTGATGGTTAAACCCAAGCATAGCTGCTGGCATGAGGCTCTGCGTTTTCTGAAGTGCAGGTTGATTTTCAAGACCGATACCTTTGGAGAGTCTCTCTGTGTCATGGGAAGGGGTCAGGAAAGGCCATTGAACCCCTCTGATGATTGCCCAGAAAATATATTTGGAAGTTAAGGCCTTCTAGGGCCCAAATCATGAGAGATGGCATTTGGGGGGCTGCAGTATGCACAGGAGCTTTTCCCACTCTCCACCAGGATAGGCGAGTCTAATCAGGCACTGGTGGTTTTCTTCAGGGGAAGACGACGATGACGATGAATGTGGGGAGGAGAAACTGCCCTCCTGCTTTGACTACGTGATGCACTTTCTGACCGTCTTCTGGAAGGTCCTTTTTGCTTTTGTGCCACCGACAGACTACTGGAATGGCTGGGCTTGCTTTGTTGTCTCTATCCTCATGATAGGCCTCCTGACAGCTTTCATTGGCGACCTGGCGTCCCACTTTGGCTGCACCATTGGCTTGAAGGACTCAGTCACCGCGGTCGTGTTTGTTGCACTGGGGACATCGGTGCCAGGTAAGGACAACAGCAGGGCTCGTTGTGAAGGTCCATCTCTGCCTGGTCTGAGTTTGAGTTTGGGCTGGGAAAGTTGGGCACAGTGAGGTCCTTGGCTGTGCTCCATGGGACTCCCAAGAACAGTTTCAAGGTGTATGTGGTGGAATTTGTTTTCCAGTCTTGGTTCAGGCAGGAGGATGAAACCAGGATGTGGATTCAGTCCCCTGGAAATTATTTCAAGGACATTCCCCTTGCAAAGACTGTGAAGTATCTATTTCTGTGGACAGCCTCCATGGCATCCACTCTCAGAGCAGGAAATTGGTCTTTGATTAAAATTCTGCTTGTGTTGGCAGTCCTGCATCTTCCTTCTGAGCATCTGCTCCTTTAACCTTGCCTCCCAGGTGAGCTGGGTGCTAGTTCATACTCAGGGTGCTCTGCCCAGCATGGGCACCTTTGTGTGAGACCAGATTCAGCTTCAGTTCAGATGGATCAAGGTGAGGTTTCTGAGCTGGAGTAGCTGCTCGAAATGTGACTTGTGAAGCCCCTAGAAGGCCCTGGCCCCACAAATGTTTGGAGATGTGTCTCTAATCAAGTGGTCACCCAGCCTGAGAAGACAGCAGAGACTGAGGACTGACCAGGGAGATAAAAAACCCACAAGTAACCATACCTACACACCACTTTGTCCTCCCACCACACATTGGCTTGCTGCAACCCAGTCTCCCTTTCTGCTGACTCAGCAAAGGGCCCCTTTTAGGGATGAATGGGTGCACTGGATGGTCCCAGTGACACTGTTGCTCTGAGAAATCCCATGTCAGCTTGTGTGAGAAGGTCTGTGCATTTCACTCACCTTCTTCCATGGGCTGTGCTGGTGAGACACAGCCTGGTTCCAGGACATGGTGCTCTAACCCAACCCGACCACCGCCCGTGTCAGTCACACCTTCCCTTGCCACCCCCAGACTTCCAGTGATCAGCGCTCAGGTGCTCAAAGATCTTGAAATTGTCCTAATGCTATCAGAGCCCAAAAAAGAAGCAGCAAAACCAAAAGGAAAAACAGATTTGTGCAAGGAACAGAAAAAGGAGCATTGTTTAGACTTCTGGCACTTTTAGGCGTGAGGTTTGTAGGGCTGTCTCACAGCCTTGACAGCAAAAATCTTCCCTCCTGCTTTTGTTGACAAAAGGTGGCATTTAAGTTCCTTTTAGGAAACGCTTGGCTACTCTTTTGAACTAGCAGGTGCTCCCAGACTGTGTCATGTCAGCTGGGTGCTAGTGGTGCTCCTGCACACCGGGGAGGTGCAGGGTGCTTTCCAGGAGGCAGACAGGCATCAGAGGAATGTGCAGTGAAGTCAAGACTGACGGGGACCTTCCCTGCATTAGAAGCACCGCTCAAGCTTGCAGCAGTGCATGTTGTTGTTTCCACACTCTGGCTGGGGCTGGCAGCGTGCCCCAGATGTGCCCCATCTCTCCTTCCGCAGCTGCAGCAGAGGCATCAGCACTGTCCCACAACCCCGTTACTGCTCCATGACCAAGGCTGAGAACAAGGGAAAATGCCTTTTCCTTCCCTCAGCAGTCAGATGCATTTCCATGGGAGCTTTTTTTAAAAAAATAAGGCAGTCCTTTGATTTCTTTGCTGCAAACAGCCCCTCTCACTGTGCTTATAGGTGCCCAGCCCCTCCTGTTACATGAAACAGGGTCTTCATGCCAGGCTGCACTTTGCCATCTCACCTTGCAGACCCACTGGGAAGGAGCGTAAAGGAAACTCTGTAGAATTAAAACACATGAAATCTAACCTCACCATTTTCTTTTTTTGAGCCACACTCTGCTGCCTGTACCCAAGGTGGCCCGGGAGTGCAGATGTGCTAAGGACTCATCTTCTCATCATTAGCTGAGAGTGGGACAAAACCCAGATGCTAATCCTCTCTCCTGCTCACCCTGCAGATCCAGAGCGGGTTTGGATGTAAAATGAGCACTTCCCTATGGTGCGGAGACACAAGATCTGTCATGTAAAAGGCCAACTGAGTTTTATCACAGCTCTTTTGCCACCGGTATTAAAGCTGGTGAAGCACCTGGGCAAGTGTACACCCACCTGCATGGTTTTTCTCCCTAAGGGGTGAAAGGTGACTGCTTGTTTACCAAAGTGTCAGGGTCTGCAGAAGACACTGGACTTCAGTGAGGTGAAAGGTTTTGGAGAGACATAATTAAAGCGAACACAGAAACACAAATACAAAACATCAGGGAACCGGAAGGATAGATACAAACTATTGTGGCTCCCACAAAGCTTTTCCAATCTTTTAAATTCTTTTGCAAGCCAACAAGTCAGTGGATGTGTGAGAAGGGGCCAACACAGTGTAGTACAGGGAAGCGTTGTCTCTTGCTTGAAGCACTGTGGGGCTTCTGGGGCCATACTGGAGGAAGCCCTATATTGCTGGACATTGAGATTTCCCTCCTGGGCATTTCTGGACCTTGATTGTCACTCTGGCTCTGGCCAGAAGTGCTCTTCCTTGGTAGTGCCCGTAGACACAGCTGTACCCTGTCCCCTTACCCACTATCCTCATTCCCCGAGTGATGCCGTTGACATTTGTCCCCAAGCTGCCTGCTGCTGTACCTTCTTACCTGGCAGTTTCCTGAGGATTTCCTTCCTCCTTCCCTTTGCAGACACATTTGCCAGCAAAGTAGCAGCAACACAGGACCAGTATGCGGATGCCTCCATCGGGAACGTCACCGGGAGCAATGCCGTGAACGTTTTCCTGGGCATCGGGGTGGCCTGGTCCATCGCAGCCATCTACCACGCGGCGCACGGACAAGCCTTCCAAGTCTCTCCCGGCACCCTGGCCTTCTCCGTCACCCTCTTCACCATTTTTGCTTTTATCAGTGTGGGTGTGCTGCTCTACCGGCGGAGACCCGAGATTGGAGGTGAGCTGGGCGGGCCGCGGACTTCCAAGCTGCTCACATCCTCACTCTTTATCCTCCTCTGGCTCTTGTACATATTCTTCTCATCTCTGGAAGCCTACTGCCACATAAAGGGCTTCTAAAGGGACAATCAGAGATAGTAAATATATATATATCTATATGTATCTATATAGAGTGATATATAGGTATAGATATAGATATAATGCTGTGTATAATGAACAGAGAAAGAATAAAAGAGATTTGCCATGTTCACGCACCTGCTGACGAAAAGCGGCTTTGGAGCATCCTTTGAACTAGGCAGGACCCCAAAGCCAGCAGGACCCCTCCCCGGGCAGTGGCCCTGGCCAGGAGCCCGGCAGCAGAGCCCTCTCTGCAACTCTACCAAGAGCGGCCGATAGCCACCGAGCCCTTTCCCATCGCTCTCCACCGCCCACTGGCCCCCCGGGAGGATGGACACGAAGGCGACTGGGGCGCGTCAGTATGGGGACGGCCAGAGTAGCTGGTGAAACAGAGCAGTGAGCGAGAAAAGGAGAGGAAGGTGAGGGTCCTGATCTCCGATTACCATCCACCCACCTGCCTTCGCCACTCGGGAACATCCCCTCTGGCCCTGTTGGAGAGAAGCAAGAGATCGGACTGAAGACAAGGGGAAATCAGGAGCTTTCTAAGGATAGAACACAAACCGTTTTCGTCATTGATTTGGGGTTGGTTTGGGTTTTTTTTTGTTTTGGTGTGTGTACAACTAGCATTTTCCCCCTCCCCACGCCCCTCGCCTTTCCACCCCTCCGTGCTTCGGGGATGCACAGCCGCAACCTCGTGTCCGGTGTCCTAAGCCGAGGCTGCGTGGAGCGGCGGGGGCTTTCCTCCTGCCTCGTCCGCCCCCTCAGGCATGCTGTCGTGGTACTCGTAACATTTGCATGAATGAAGTGAACCCTACCTGTATATAGCATCCTATAGCGATAGTCCTTCCAGCCATGTGGGTTGAGCATTGCAGGTACAAGTGTTTTTCTTTTCACTGGGTTTTATTTATTTCAGTTAGTTTAGTTTCACCAGAGGTTTTTGGTCATTCCTTCGTTTCCTCTTAATGGGGGTAAAAGGAGGGAAAGCTGTCCCCGTTTATTGCTCCCCACGCGTGGGTCCACGAGAAGCAATAACAGCCACACGGATGCAGGTTTTCAGGTGAGGAAAACCCGCATCCTAGCGACTGCAGGCTGCGTTCCTGGTGTGGCTGGGGGGTTCCCCCCCCCCCACCGCCGCGCGCAGTCCAGGACATGCAGAAGCTGGTGTGAAGGACTCCACTGGCCGCAGAAGGTTTTACAGAAGGTCCCAGGGAGCCCGAGTGGGATGAGTGGTGTCCGAGCCCAAGGTGGGTGAGCATGGCTAGCTCCCAGCACCTCGCTTGCCTCTGCCTTTATAGCCAGTGGCTGCCTCTAAACTCCCTGCTATTCCCTGTGTCCCTGAAGGTCTAGGGGCAGCCCCCATTTCCGAGCGTTAAGCCATCAGGATCAGTCCCCAAAGCTGGTCCTTTCCCACAGCCATTTGAGGGCAGAATAATTCAGCGTAAGGGCGAAGGGCCGTAATGAGACCTCCCATGCCAGCAAGCATAACCGGGAAGCGTCCCCAAGGAAAAAGGCCACATTTTGCACTGTCCGAATCGGAAATCAATGGGAAAGATGAGACAGGGAGGTGTAATTCAGCATTACCCACGACTCCGGCAGCGCAGGCTGGGGTAGCGGGCCTGAGCAGGTGTGGATGTAGAGCTGCCCTGGGCGCCCAGGGGTGACATTGTGCACTGGTGTTGAGAGATGTCTCCTGACCCTATGCCCTTCGCTGGGCTTTCTGGCATCCCAGCCAGGCGAATGCTCAGCCTGCATGTCCACTGGGGAGCTCTTCCCACCCAGCTGAAAACCACGTCTGACGCTTGCACCATAACCAATTGGCTGCGGGTATTTGTACTCATTTTGAACAATCTGTGGAAATTTTAATTAACCTGTTGTAAGATTTTTCTCTAGGAATATCAAGGTGTGGGGTTTTTTTTTTCTTCTCAAGCCTTTTTTTCACTTTTGATGGGTTCTGTGGATTTTCTTTTTATTTCTCATTGTTTCGGGGGAAGAATCAAACACAGGTGCAGGTTGTTCAGATTTATGATTGCCTTTATGTACGATTATTTCATTTTCATCTGTTTGGCTTCATTGATTTTTCTTTGTGTGTTTTGCCCACCACTATAGGCAGTGAGTCCACTAATTGTGATGATCCTTATCAATGCACAGACAAATAAAGTTTGTAATGATTCCTGATGGATCCAGTAGTGCTCCTGCATATTCTCTATGGAAAATCCATCCCTCCCCTCCCATTGTCTCCCCTTACATTGTACCCATCTCTTCTTTACTCATTAGTTTGCCTTCATTGTGTTTCTGCTGCTGGTGAGGGGCAACAGTGCCTCCACACACTCGCTCTTGCCCCATCTCACGGCTTTCCTCCCGCTCCATCTCCATTGTGCCTCAGGCTGGGTGTGCTGCCGTACAGCCGGGACTCACAGCTCACCGAGCTCTCAGGGGGATGCAGGAAACGACCCAGGGATGAAACTGCAGTGCAACCCTTCTGAGGCCAGGAGTTGCTCCTGTGCTGGGTCTTGCCTGAGACTCAGGGAGAGCCGTGCATGTGCCCCCAAGGTACTTAGCAGCTCTTTCTGCTTGTGCCCTCTAGTTCTATAGAACTGCCCTTGCTCTTGTTCCAGCCTCACGGTGACTTGTGCCAGGCAAAACCACTAGCTAATGATAATGCAAGAGATGCATTATCATGGCAGGGTCCATGGGTGCAAAAGCAAATCTGAGACATCTCACGAGGTCACCAAGCATACTGGGAGCTTGGGCTGCTCTGGGCAGCTGCCTGCTCATGCCCCAGTCCAGGTGCGGTGGGCTGTGTCTGACTCACATGGCTTGACAGAGCTCAGCCAGCACTGAGGAGGAGAAAAGTCTCTAAATTCCCAGGGTTGTGGCTCTGCCCTGTGCTTCATCCAGGATCTGTTGAGCTGTCCCCACATAAACCTTCCCTGCGATGTTTCCAAGCTCCCACTCTTGACAGCTGACCTCAAACACCAGCTTCGGAGACGGGTCCCAGGCAAGTGCTGCCTTCATCTGGCAGAGATCTCCTTGCTCCTCCTCCCGATGAGGCACACGTGCCTGGGGTGCACGCTCTGGGGGTCCTGCCCACACTCCTGCTTATGCTCCGGCCCATGGTCCTGCCCGTCTGCTGCTCGGGGTTGTGATGGGGCTGCACAGCTGGTCAGGTTGGCACCAACAGCAGCGTCTGGCTTTCATGCTCCAGGCTAGAGACATGCCACCAAACAAAAAGAGAGAGGGTAAGAGGTGGTTGGTTCTGCTGCAGCATGACCATGTCTGCAGAGGTCCCAAGGAAGTAAAATTCCTATCTGCCAATGCAAGGGGATGTGTGGCAGAGCCGGTAACTAATGCACTCAGGCAGCCAGAGGGTTTAACGTGATCTCTGGGCCACTCTCATGAAAACCTGGCCCTTCCCCACACCCTGTGCTGCTTTTTGCCAACTGTGTGGCCAGCCTCACTCTCCCTACAGGTGCTCAGCACCCTCCAGGATGAGCATGGGTCAAGCTTCAATGTTTGCCAAGCCCCGGGCGAACATGGCTGGTCAGGTTTGTGTGCTTTTCCCAGGCAGTGAATTATGAAAGCAAAGCAGCTCTCCTGACTCAGTAATTACATCTACCGAAAGGTGATGTTGGTGTTTTACTCTCATCGTTTGCTTCTTTGGAATGAATTGCAGTCACTGAAGTCATTAACAAGTCAAATGGGACTTGTGGAGCAGCTCAGTTGAACAGGCAGTAAATGACTTCTGCTCACAGAGCTTTCCAAAGGGAATGATGGAGCATTGCTTGCTTAGGACAAGGCCTAAATCACACAGTAAACACCAGCCTTGTTTATGCAATTTTTCTCTGCCAGCCTCATGCTTTTTGGCATCTTTAACGAGCTTATGCAGAGCGTGATGTGTAATTTGCCCACTTGCTTGTGGAGGAGCCACGGGTGAGCAGTGAGCCTTTCAGCCACCTCACCGTGCCAAGGAGGCGAAGGACTGCTCCACCGAGCCCCAGCCACCCGCCTGCATTCGGGAGAGTGTAATGCCTGCTCTTCTGCACCAGCCTCGTCCTCAAACCAGACCCTGCAAGGGCAAAAGCAAACTGCCCTCCTCTGCGAGACACCCACGCCCGGCGGCACACTGCCAGGAGGCAGCAGGAGAGAGCGCAGCCCCCAGCAGGGCACATCTTGCCCCGACGTTCGCCCGCCCCATGGGGCACAAGCCAGGTCCCCGGCCTGGTGCCAGTGCTCTCCCATCTCCTCTTTGTCCCTGCCAACCTCTCCAGCCTCCCTCACAAGGGAAGGGCATCAAGCACCTCCAGTAAAGCCCTAGGCTCTGGGAGGTTGCCAGAAATAGCGCTTCAAATGCTCGGCCTCCATCCATCCTGTGCCCCAGCTGCTCTCACCCCCTCTTATCACTGCACTAGCTGAAGACAAAACTTGCCATGGAAAAGGATGCAGCGCAGTGCAAAGGACATTCAGAGGTGGACATCCAAATAGCTCAACAGGCCACTGCAACACACATGGGGACAAAGGGAAGGAGCACACGGAGCAGTGACAGCCCCAAGCATCTCAGCAAAACCGTACCCCCAGCTCTTCAGGGGCCGACAGGAGAGGAGGCAAATCCCAGCCACAACCTGAACACACAGAAAAGGTGCAAAAGGGCCAGGGACTCTGCAGGTCCCTGGTGCTAGCGGGAGCCACACGCCTGCAGCCCACACAGCCTACCCAAACTGACTGCACCCGTGTCAGGGCAGCACGGGAGCTGCTCACTCCAGAGATGCAAATTCCTCATCTCCAAACAATGCGCCCACCCATGCATCACCCATTCCCAGGTGGCCTGCAGTGGCTCTGGGATGAGGGGAGATTGCAAGGCTCATTTGTGCATCTTTCTCCCCGCTTTCATTGCTTCCTTAAAGGACAAAAGGGAAAAGGGAGGCTTTGAGCCCTTTCTGGTCACGAGCCTGGATGCAGACTATAAACTCACGGTGCTATTTCTGCTGCGGGCAGGGAGGGGAGAACCAGAGCCTGTGTGTTATTGTTACAGCTATTTTTAAATGCTTGGGTAAGAATCAAGTGCAAGAGTATTGGGGGCCATATACATAACTAAGGAGGAGGCTCAGCTGCATTCCAGGAGGGGCAGAGCTAAG